GGGGTGATTAATTTTTTTCTTGTTCAACTTACGCATCGATGATCTGCACAGTTTCCGGGCCGTTCGACGAGCGCAGACTGAGGTCGGTTGGTACATCGTTGAATGGGGTTGAGGTCAAAGGTGAAAATAATAAAGGCGGAGGGTTCGTTGACGATGGAGATAAAAAGAAAGATGTCAAGGGATTTCTTGAGCTTTTTTTTTCCGGTAACGGGAAAAATGTCCTAGCGACTTGTCGAAGCGGACAAATTCTTTTCCCACTAGAATTCAGTGAATTCCGACGAGTCTTCCTTTTTTTTTCCTCTCCGTTGCTGCAACCCCTGCCGTCAGCCCGGGGACGCCATTCTCGAGAACGTTATCCTCCCCCGTGAACGCAGACGCTAACCCGACGTCGCTGCGAGCGCCAGGAAACGCTTTCAAATTTTCAGCGTTATCGGCCTCCCCGTCTAGGACAGACAGAAAGAGGAATTATCGATTACTTCACGAATCACCCTATATAAGCAGGCTAAGTTTTTAATAAAAAAAAAACATATTAGGTAGAAAAATAATAATTTGTATAATTAATATTTTTTGAAAAAAAAAATTACCAAGTGACTATTCCAGGTTCCCCCCATAGTTCATATCCGAGACTCATGGCATAATTGTCAAACGACTTAAAGCTCTCTTTGTCCCAACTGTACCTATTGTCTTCCTCGTTCTGTTATCTTGTCCAAGAGAACGAAGCATAACCAAGAGAGGACTGTCTTTGGCTAAACATGACGTCACTGTTGCCAAAGGACCACAATGAGGAGAGTACAGAGAGAGAGAGACAAAGTCCCTAGGCTTCTTAAATTGGCAAAACACCTTCGCCTAGCCATTAGGCAGGTCTTGTCATCATCCACGACGACGTCGACGTCGGGCGTCGATATCCACGTCGTTTTATTCTCTTGGACGCTTTTATTCGTCTTTTTTTCTCCAGTTTTAGCCAGAAGGCGACTTCAGTCAATGGGCAATGCCAAGCCCCAGTACCTTCTCTACCTCTATCGGGTACCTCTGGTCTTCCCTCAAGCTTCACCTACAACGCCAACACTTGGCTCGGTTTTCCCGTCGTCTCCTTCCGCCTCCGTCTCTTGCTTCTACCTTCGTCCATTAATTAACAGGCTTTGTACTTTTAAACGATGTTAAATAAACGGCTTTGTCCGTTAGCGAAAGGACTGAAAAGCTGGCGCCATTGTGCTTTAAGCTCGGTTGGTCCCCGAAAGCACGAGAGAGAGAGAGAGAGAGAGAGAGAGAGAGAGAGAGAGAGACCTACCCATCCTACAAGCTACCTACCAACCTACTACCCACCCACCTACTCATCCACCTTCCTTCCCAAGCTACTACCTATTACTAATACCGAAGGGAGCCGACAGGGGACTCCTTTGTTCTAAACAAATACGACCCCCTCTTACTCACCCAGCCACCCCCTGTCTCCGCCGGTTTGCAGACAGAAAAGTGTGTATCGATTGGATAAGCTAAAATATAAATATACAAGAGACTTTAATCGAGCACCCATTCCTCCCCGTCCTCCAATACAAGACATCATATCCAAAGATCGATTAGACCACCCCCTTCATCCCTCTGCCCCTTTCATTTATCTTTTACCATTATTCTTACTCCTAAGCTAATAGTCTCCTTTATTCTTGTTTCGCACCCCCTGAATTTCTTATTTTAAAGCAAAGTGGATGTTCCGTGGCCACCCCCTGAATAACCAAAAGCAATATATTGTCTGTCAAAATTATGATTGCTTGTACGGTTAATACATTTTTTTTTTGGGTCCTACCCAGGGTGTACAGTCGGTAAAAAATTGTTCGTATAAGCTCAACCTCGTACCCTTTTTGTTTCGGTGGTTGAAAATATTTGACAATTTTTTTATGAGGGTATTTGTACGATTCGAAAAAAAAAAAAAAAAAAAAACACTAGTACGTTCTCCTCGGAAGCTCGAAATCTCCAGCGTTGAATTCTGTAGTCCCGTTTCTCTGTGTCCCACCACGTAGTCGCATTGTCTAGCGCTTTGTGCCAGTCCGGGGCAACTCTTCCATTGTATTCTGGGTAACGTAGCAAAGCCCGTTGAGCGATGTGTATCCATTCTGCGTATCTCTCCTCCAGCTCTTCTCTCTCTCTCTCTCTCTCTCTCTCTCTCTCTCTCTCTCTCTCTCTCTCTTGCTTCTGCTATCGAAAACTTTTATCCCCGCGGACAATGCCCGTTTGGATCCACGAATGGATGCCCCGCATTCTTTCTTTACCATCTCGTCCTCCTCGTCGACAGCCCGGCAGCCAGACTTTCCACTGATTCTTGCACGGCTGCCATCTTCCACAGCTACCTGGGCTTACCGCTCGAAAGTAACAGCTACCGGGTATCCGATTATTATTGAAAGAAAGAAATCCATAACTTGCTTGTCGTCGTATCACCCACTGGTCCCATGGTCCTGTAAGGGGTGTAAAAGATATAAAAATTATTCTCTTTGACGAAGGTGGTTCTAACGGGATGAAACTTTTATTTTTTAGGTGCCGAATGGAAGTTACTCACCGAGGACGAGAAAAGACCCTTCATCGACGAAGCCAAGAGGTTAAGGGCGATGCACATGAAGGAACATCCCGACTACAAGTACAGACCAAGGAGAAAGCCGAAGACCTTGAGGAAGGAGGGTTATCCGTACAGCATCCCGTATCCCAGTGTACCAATGGACGCGTTACGTGCGGGTGAGTCATTGTTTGTTGTAACTTATAACTGCGAAATGAAAAAAAAAGGATTTTTATGCATATAAAACAAAGGGACGCGGTATAGAGCGCAAAAAAAATTTGCCGATTACATTAAAAGCTCGGGAGTCGCCATCGCATGTCGAGACAATTCGATAAATAATAACCAGCTGACACATTTATGCTCGCGTGCCGCCGTCTAATGAATCTCAACTCGGTTGAGCCTTCAGCGCCGAATGGAATTCAACGAGTAGCCTCAGCGTCCCGGAGTAGCGTCGCGACGCTTCATATCGAATATATTTTCAAGGTAAATTTTTCAACGACTCAGGTACGCACCGGTAAATACTATAAAAGTCAAATTTTGACAGCTGTCACTTGACTGTCATACGAGAAATACGACATATCCGCTCGAGTCATACATACGGTGTACAAAATAATAACAATCAAACTTTCGAATTTTCATATTCGCGGGGTCTCTATTTTCATAATAAAAAAAATTTTCAATAATCAAGACAACATGCAACCACCGTGTAGCCCGTCAAGATCCATACCACATAAGATCCAAAAAATTATCCACGAACTCAAAATCATATTCGATCGAAAGTATCGGTCTGATAGGATTTAAAAAAATTTTTTTTCCTTCGGCCATCTTCAAGAGATACCTCTTACGTCCATCTTCTTGGAAAGGTGTTACGCCAGCTTAAAGTCCGTTCTGTCTGGTTTGGCAAGCGCGACGTCGGTTCCCTAACGAGCTAACGAGATGATGATCTTCGCTGGACCCACAGCCACAGCTGGGGGATAGAGTCGACTCATCGTCGCGTTGGTCGATCAACGATCGACGAAGTGAAGGTTGTTGATGACGATGGTGGTGGTTGCAGTATACACGTATATTGGTATAGCAGTCAGGCGTCGGGACGTCAGTTTCGATTACGGTGGATGAGTGCCTGGCGTAGAATCGTCGAAGGCACTCGACGCCCATAAATCTTGGAGACCTCAACGCCAATCGTCTCACCATTTGTGAGGGACCGTATCTCCCTCTCTCTCGACCTGGTCCATGTCCTCCTCTCCCTCTCCTTCTCGCACTCCTTTCTCTCAGTCCATCCACCAGCGATGGGTCTACACGTACCTCAAATGAGCCGTGAGTGACGTCTACATCCGATGATGGACGTTGGCCCGCGGTCCTATAAAGAATTGCCATAATGTTTATGCATGCGGCTCTTTATATATCCTAATACTACGTACACTACACTGTATTGTTAACTATGATGCATAATAACTGTGGTTGGTTATACCTCAAGTACGTAGCTCAGGCATCCAAGATTAACCGAGGAAAACGTGGCCTGCTTACAGGAATGGCCGGCGGCATGGGACAGGCCGGTATGGGCTCCTACTACGGCCCGGCCGCGGCTTACGGCTCCCTCTCGGCTGCCAGTATGGCTGCGGCCGCGGCCGCTGCCGCACAGCAGTCTGCGGCCGCGATGTCAGCGGGTCTCAGCGCACCTGCACAGGTGAGTGTAATTTAGTGGTATCTACTGTTATCGCTGTATTGTATATGTATATATATATATATATGTCAACGATCCCCTCAGATTTCAACCCTTAAGCTACTAACCACCCCTAATTCGATGATTATTGTTATTATCGTCAGGAGATAAAATACTCGATGGCGGCTCTTAGACATTGTTTAAGGGGGTTGGGAGGGGGGGGGTAGCTCTAGTAGTCATATTACCCTTTTCTTATCCAGGACCTTCCATGTCCAGGGTCACGTTATTAATTACCCAAACTGGTAACCCGCGTGTGAAAATCGGCAGGCACCCTTCGAGTGGGAGGGGGGGTGTGAAAAGGGGGTGGTCGATAAAGGTGCTTCTAGTTGTACCTTAGTTCGTGACAAAAAGCCCAATCAAGGAATATGCCGATTCATGCCTGTGGATGATGTCATCCTCGACCTCCACCGGGTTCAATACGATTGACACCCCTCAACCGATTAAGCCGATCTTTCCTTATATCGGTAAGAGGAAATTACACGGACGGGTACTTGGCGGAGGATGCATTGCCTCTTTGGTACTTTGATTTCCGCAGTGGCATCTCAGCTGGCTGGTGAATTTCTGTGATTCTAGTAACTTTTTTTTTTCAAATAAAAAAAATTTCCGAACGGAAAGGCACGTAGCGACTTGGACTCGCGTGCCTCTTCTGGCCTCGGGATTCCTCGCTTTTCGAAACAAAACTTCATTAACGTCCCTCTTTCTATCTTTCTCACTCTCTTTCAGTTCTTTCCATTCTCACCCTCGACAGCCATGCTGTCAACTGACAATGGGATCGTACCGGTCTTCTGTTTCCAATGACAAAGCGTCCATTCTGAACCGCGTGTCGTCCGACGAATACAGAGACCACCTCCTCCACCACCTCCACCACCTCCACCTCCACCTTCTCTTTCACCCTGCGCGTAACGCGTTATTTTCTCAATGGATTTCTGCCACTGGCAATGCACCCCCTCCACGCCACCTCCCACCTCCCACCTGTCGTCTCATCCTCCCTTCATCAGGTTTCTATTTTGTCACCCGATCGCTACGAACGTTCGCAGTGCTACGCCAGATCGTATACCTGGAGGAGGAGCGAGATTTTTCAAAAATCCTACATGAGAAATCGTAGTTTTTTTTTTTACCGTTTTTTTTTTTGGACCAAATCGCCAAAGATCAATACGAACGTCACGCAGCTGGGTATTGCCTCGTGCGCGGTGGTCCACGAAAGGTGAGGAAAAGAATGAGAGATAAAAAGTGAGAGATACGGTATAAAAATGGCCACGGATACCGAGCGAGGAGCGAAGGGAGTCGGGAGGTGGCGTAAATCATCTGGACAAAGCCGGCTTAACGACCCGACAAAGGTACCCGGGGTCCTCGTCGCCACGAATTATAGAATTAGGAGTGTGCGTTTCGCGTCGCGTCCTCCTTGAATAATTTCTTTGACCCTTTAATCATTATTGTTATTATCATTATAAAGTGGGACCTTCCTTTTTTTTCCGACTCCATCCACACACGACTTTGCGACCCTCTTCGAATTTACGGGCATTGGCACCTTCGCGTAGCTCGGCCACCTCCCCCACTCGAAGCAGGAACCGGTAGCTTGGCCTTTCTCTTTATGCCGATTCTCTGCCACTGTGGGCCAAGTGTTATCAGTGTCCTTGAGTCGGTACCCTGTACCGACTGAGCATAGGGGATGGCTCGAGGATCTCTTTTTGTAACCAGGGAACCACCGTCCCTTCAGTGACACGGAAGGCTTACGGCGATGATCGGTAAGCTTTGTAATGGTAGCTTCAGAAGCAGATAACTTTCGAGGCCGATCGAAATCGCTGCTCCGACAATGGCGTAAAAGGCGTCGGTAGCGGCCGTTTAGCCTCCGATTATAATTAACAGCATGACTTAACGCACTCTCCGGTAGCGGGCTGGATCGCAGCATGGGGCGGTTTAATTATCGGGGAGAAAGGCGCGTTTCTAAGGAGGCCTGTATGAGAGTTGGCGGGCTGTGGTGTTCGCCGCGACGGCATATCGTGCGGACGGTAGGCGTCGAGAGTTCGAGGAATCTGTTTGAAAATATCATCTGGCGTTTTTATTCCGGGTGATCCTGCCGGTTAGCCTTACGATACGGGATATTTGTACGATGAGGTTGTAAACAGGGACTCTGGTTAGGCCGGGGGGATGGATCATTGAAAGAGGAAAATGACGTGAACCAAATGACTCGTAGAGCAATCTGAAATTTGTTTCCTCTTCTGGTAATTGCAGGTAGTCAGCTCGATGGACGCCATGAAGTATTCCATGGAGGCTGACAAGTATCGCGCTACTTACATGCCACCGAGTACCCTCGCGATGAGTATGTACTCGGACCCGAAGTACCTGGACTCGAGTCCCAAGCCGTACCTTGACAGGAGTTACCTGGACTCGGCGAAGGCCTACTTCGAGCAGTCAAAGATGTACATGGACCAGAAGCCAGTGATAAGCGGCGATTACGCCAGGGCGGCCTACGAGCAGAACAAGCTGTACGAGGAGTCGAGTCCTGGGAACGGGTCGGCTGGTGGCGGCAGCGGGTCTCTGTTAGGGGTCGCACCCTCGGCCAGGTCACCGTCATCGGATTCACCTGACGGTAGCAAGCATCATCATCAGCATCAGCAGCAGCATCAACACGGCGAGCGCAGCGAGCACGGATCATCCAGTGCAAGTTCGACCTCGACCTCATCGGCGGCGGCGAGTCCGGGTCTACCCGCTTACTACCCGGCGGCAGCGGCCGCGGCCGCGGCCGCAGCGGCGGCCGGACAGGCTGCCGCGGCAGGAGGTCTACTCGGGCCGCAAATGGCTCAGTATCCGGGGTACCAGACGGCGCCCACACCGGGAAACGAATTCCGTCGACCTTTGACCGTTATCTTCTGACCCGACAGAACCTAGCTCTGACCGATTCTCAACGATCGTCGATCAGCCTGAAGCTGTCCCAACCTCTTGATCCTGATCCTCGTGCCGATCGTCTTCTCTTACGTTAGCGATACCTCGACCGGGGACTGGTCGCTGAACTCATCTGAGCTCGTAATTGGGTCGGTCGAGGGTGGACGAGAGGACGTGGGTGGGAAAAGGGGGAATCCCAGATCACGACAGACTGGTCGTCCTCGTCAGGATAAATCCGAAGCGGAGGCCTCCAAGGATCGACGTGAACGTTACTGTCACTTTTATTTTTTATGGCGATTTTACGAGTGGCGCCCCCTACGCGGTGGAAAAGTGAACAGAACGCGTGTACATAATATTCTTCCCTGTGTAAATAGCGTGAGCGGGGGCCTTAAGGCGCCCGCGCAAATCCTATGACGAGGTTGACGGAGACTTTTATCGTGGTGTACAAAGGACGTCGGTCGTTTTACGAATCTCGTCATCATTATTTTTTTATATTTAACGTTATTCTTTTATCTCTTTTTTTTTTATCTAATCGTCAGCGTCGTCGTCCTCGAAATTTTTTTTTTTTTGACCAAACGACCAAGTCACGTGGATACGTCGCGTTAATGGGGATGGGACACGTTCGCCACGATTCGACTGTAAATATAACGGGGAACCTCGTCTGGGAGAAGAACGAAAGAGTTATTAAGAAAAAAAAAAAATTGTGTAATAAGTCGAAAACAAAATTTAGAGCACGCTGAAAAGGTTTCGTCCTATTAATTGATTCTCGAACGCCCTTACGTTTCTCCATTGCGTCCCTAAGGACTTGGGTGGTGTTTTTAGCTAATTAAAGAGGAAGGTTCACGGGGGGACGAAAGACGGGAGGGAGGGGACGTTTAGATGACGAAAAAAATTTTTTCAAAAAAATAAATAAATGGACGCGCCTTCTGATCTGCGTATGTGTCTACGTGGCGCGAACGGACTCTCGATCTTCGTGGGCAGATTGACCACGTTAAACAGTGCAATAACTGACAAAGAAGGAATGTGAGAATAAAAAAAAAAATTCTGAAAACGAGAAAATATCAGAAAATTTGGGAGTGTATGTTAAAAGAAAAAAATTGTAAGTACGTCAGTCGATGAGAATGCGAGAGTCGGAAGAGCGCGATAAATTTCATTGAGAAAAAAAAAAAATGGAAAAATAAAAATACAAAAATTACGTCCAGTCGTTTCGCAAGTGAATCGTCATTCGTTTTCGTCCTCGACGTCGTCATGAATAATTTCACCGGCTGTCATAACAGTAATTACGTAAAAAGAAAATCACAACCGTCATGCACGTCATCCGTCACGTGGGTCGTCATCGTGACAGAGAAAATAATTTGAAAGGATGACGGAGGGGACGGGAACGACAGATCACGTGACCTTCTTCTTCTTCTTCTTCTGTAATTATATCGTCATAACGAGCATTACGCATTACCGGTTATTCGAGTATTACAATAACGAGCGAAACAGTTAATCTATAAATATTGTACCGTAAGTGGAGATGATAATAAAGATGAAGATCATTATCCTTCGAAGATAAAGTTCAATGGTCATACCCGAACGTCTGTCCTTTGTCCCGTAAAAAACTGTCACGTGTGCTTAACAAGTGTCAGAGGATGATTTTATGACGTAAGAATGAAAAAAAAAAATAATAATAATAATAATAATAATAATAATAATAATAATAATAATAATAATAATAATAATAATAATAATAATAATAATAATAATAATAATAATAATAATAATAATAATAATAATAATAATACTAAATAAGCACTTATAAGCGGGTCTTTATCCCGGGCACGTAGAACGGTGTATAATCGCTTCGAAGTAAGTGTACAGTCCTCGTCAGACAAGCCGTTTATTCGCTGCTCTTATGGCGGCCGATACAAAAAAGAAAAAAGAAAAAAAGGGGCAAGCGGCCGACGCCGCTAACGATAATAATGGACGCTTAAAGAACATGATGATTACCAACTTACGCACGCTTCCACGAGACGACAAACTGACAATTTTCAGCGTCATTATCCTCTCGAGAGCCGGCATTGTTTCTGAATCTCCGAGGGGCCATTATTCTCGAGTCGACGCTGGGCTTCGCCTCACCTTCGCGGGATCCGAAGTCTAACCTAACCTAACCTAACCACGGTACGACCTCAGCCCGAGTCCCACCCTCTGCCCTAACACTTACTCAACCTATTACTCACGGCAGGCTCTTCGTCCTTTGCCAGTTCTTCATTCCCTGCCACTTACCACCAGGGAGCGCACTTTGACCCTAGCGAAAGCCGCATAAGTGCCACTTCCTTGGCAACGAGGTCGGCCCGTATGACGATCCGGAGGAGAATTTCTGTTTGACAGGATAAACAAAAAATTTTTCAGATGACCTCAGACCATTGGGTAAGTATCGTAAGCGCTCGTCAGACCCCCCCCGTTCGACCCAAGACCAGGACACCTCAGGAGCAGCAAACTGGGCCTCGCGGAAGAGGGCCCAGACCTCTGACTGCCCATTAAATCCATTATAGCGAGCAGCGACGTCCTCGACAGGCAGGCCAACCTGGCAGCCGTCGTCGCCTAGACAGATCGTTTAACTGGAATTTAAATCATCCCGTGGGTCCACGGGAGTCTGACCATCGAGCCGTCCCCATCCAGTTGTCTATCAGCACTTCATTAGTTTAGCTTACACCCAGGGAATGCGTCTTCCAGACACTTAGACTGTCACCCACTTCGAAGACCGGGCTTCATTATACATTAGACACTTCATTCCAACCTGTCTGCCACCTACTAACTACACCGTCACCCAAAATTACTACGATCCACAATCAATAGGAAAAAACCTCCCTTAATGGCCACCTTACACTCCTACCAACCCCGTGTAAACTCACGGTCCCACATACTCGATTCATCATAATTCCAAAACCCATAGCGAATCGCTATCCATATAAACGTCACGCACAAGGTCTATCCACAATGACAATTGTACTTCCTAAAATGTATCGTTACCATTATACCCTCGTAAAAATCTATAAGTTATCTAATTCCTTATCGTCATAATAATCCCAACCCTTTCAACCCCCAAAACCAATTCCATCCGTTTTGCCCTTTTTGAACCCTGGCAAAATCACTATTCACCAATTGTACGATCTTTTTGAGATATACCCCACCACCTCCCCCGGGGCTTATTTACCATGTAATTATTTTGAGTAGCAGGTGCCAGACGGCATGAACTATCGGTGTTTCAATGTTTATTCGAGTCAATCCTTGCTTGAACACACATCGTCCAGGACTTCGGCGTAGCGAAAGCAAACACTACGTTACGCGAGTGCACTGTTCTCCGCCCACCCGTTATAATATATGCCAGTCATAATGTCTGCCCGGGATCGGCCGTATGTCTCACAGAGATACTATACCCAACTCCCGTCCCGTTCTACCTGGCTGTCAGTCAATCAGTCAGCCAGTATCTACGAACGCTATACGTACGTATGTGGATACGGTCACATATGCCCGCCCCACCTCCCTGTTTATATTGCGGTACAGTCATAGCTACATTTCGAAAATCCAACTCCACCCTCACATGGCTAACTTAACGTACAGTCGATTCACGCATGTGTGAGATTCCTGACACGTGCGTGACAATTCGTATCAAGCAATACTTAGTAACCGGAAGTCGTGCGTTCGTTCCGTAATTCCCATTTGGGTACCAAAAGTTAAAATCGGTATAAAAAAAAATTTTATCGACTACGAAAAAATTTCCAAAATTTCCTCGAACAACATTGATAAATAATTATCGTACGAATTGTCACGCACGTGTTTACTAACGAGGAGTTTAATAATTAATGAGGCATTGATGTGTCAATTTTTTTTTATCCACGAACAAGTACCAATTTTTTTTTTTTTTTTTGAAATCTTTTGACAATCCCAAGGAGGGGTGGTTAAGCCTCGTTTGATTGAATTTTTATCGCAAGGGGTTCAATTATGTCGCATGAGTCAGCCGATTAAAGTATAAGCGCACTGAGTGCGTATGGGTGCTCGTGTGTGTCCTATCGAAGTAAAATCTTCGAATTTTATTTAGGATAAGAAATAAAGTGTCCTGAAACCGGTGACGTTCTGGTAGCTGGTTCCGAACCAGAACCAGTTGTAGACGGTAACCCCGGCGTTCCCTCCGGTACAAAAGTATCCAATACCCAGAGTCCCCTATTGGTCGCTGGAGTTTCGGTATGTAAATTAGTCGCGGCCCCATTCACACCTGTGCACCTGGGATCAGGTTGTCTGCCGGATGGTTAGGTCAGGAGGGCTCGACTGGACTCTGGATTCCATCCTGAAGGGATCTTATTTAGGATGACTGTACCGAATAACATAAGATACGACTTGGACCCATAAGTGTTTTTCTCATGGTGTGAATAAGCCTTTAATTAATGACAGCCAATTTCAATTGATTTGTCATTGATCGGCCATGTTTATCCATACCGGTTTCGATATCCATTTTCGTGGACGGTTCAAAAAGAATTTCTAAAAGATTCTGTATTTAAAAAAAGTGGGGCGAGCGGGGGGGGTCGGTCGGGAGTCGAATATCTCTGCCGGCCATATATGGCCACTTCCCATGTATATTATATTAATATGCGGGATGGTGTTGGTCGAGGACCTGCTGCATTGTGCAGCTGCATTCCTAAGCCGAAGGACCCTGCGCCTTTCACTGTTCTCTCTTTCTCTTCGTCTCCCTCTCTCTCATACACGGAGTCTCTCTTTCATTTTTCACCCCCTCGCCGTCCTCGCCCTTCGGCAATAGCCGCGCATCTTATTTCTCACCTCTCACGGCATCTCCGCGCAGCATCCAGTTGATGGTCCATGGGATACCTGTTAAAGTATGTATGAAGCATTAGGGAAAAAAATTTTAATAAATAAAAAATATCAAGGTAAATTTACTCACCCGGTATCGAGGAAATTTTTCCCAGGTGTACATCGCACGCCAGTGTACCCCGTGCACGAGGTGCTATTGAAAAGTAGACAAGACTGGATGCTCGTCTGAAAAAAAGGAACCAAGTCAATTTTAACGGGTCACCCTGTATCGCTGCGGGTGCAGCGAACCGATCGGATCGATTTGCGTCTCGTATTAAAAGGCGAGGCTTGATGACGCTGTCGGAAATACATCTCAGCAACAATGCTATCGTGCCTACGCAAACGGATTAGCGGCTGCGTTATACCGGGTATTGGGTTTGAAACGAGTGAGAGAGAGATAGGTGTATACATACCAAACCCTGTAGGTGAACGTAATACCAGTATCAGTCGGGTCTGTCCGACGCCCGGCGTCTCCACGTTGGCCCGCACGTGGCGCCACGCGAAAATCCTTCATTGTTCTTTCCCCGACGGCCGATTATGCGATACAGAGGGTGGCCGATTGTTACCAGGGTGAGTTCAGGAGACGACAGGGATTGCTGGAAAAAAAAAAAGAAAAAAATACCTCAGCAAGGGATGCTCGGTAGAACGAAATCTGTGGGATCGAGATAAGAAGCTAAGAAATAAGGAATGAAAGTAGGACAATACTTTGTGAGGTATTAAAAAAAAAAAATTTTTTCAAATCATAAAAATCACATTTTCATAACTGATTGGTGCCCTTATGGCCACTGGTCCTTTGATACTGGAACTACCCCCTACGCGCCGCCCCTGACGCAAGTCCACTGGCGAGCTTCTTCAGAATTTTGCATTATCCCTATTACTGCTGATTCACACATCCTCCTTTGTAGCCTTTGTGGGGGTCGACAATGCCGGCTGTTTCTTTCGTATTTTTTTTTTCTCCTCCTCTTCCCACCCCTCTCCCTTACTCTTTTTCATCCGACATACGAACAGTCCAACGCGTGACACGGATGACAAACGACGCTGCCGTCCCATCGACCCGTAACCCGACTACTTTGCTCGCTCTACTCTGTATATCCTATCACGCTACCTAACCTTTGCACCCTAAACACCCACAAGCGGCCCCTTCGCGACCCCCCGAAAGCATCGACTAGGCACGTATTATCGCATTATCGCCACCTCGAGCTACCCCACGGGTTAAGGGTTCCCTTTTCCCCCTGGACTATTTCTTTCTTCTACTCTGTCTCTTCTTACCTACCCTCCACCCGGTTCTATCGACGACCCACTGTCTATCTAGGATGACCTGGTACGGTGAGAGGGTCAATTACGCAATATACATTAAACAACTTAAAGACATTCCGAGCACTAAAGAGTAACGTCAGAGCGTGGCAGTGTTGGCTTGCAACGGGAGGGGGCTAGGAGTCCAGAGTGGAGGTGGTGGTTACGAAAGTGGATTTCGTAATGGTAGGCAGGTTGCGGCATTCGAGAGAAACGTTATAGAGAGCGTTGAGAGTGTGTAAAAAAAAAGAGGAGAAAACTAAAAGACGTGGATTCCAAAGTAAGGAGGAAACACATGGAATTCGAGGGTACAATGGCAATGGTGGTAAGAATGAAGAGGGATGCCGAAGACCGGTGGCCTGCCCCAGACACCCACTGAGAGTTATTAAACAATCGACAATGCTTGTTGCTTCGTCACCCATCTAGCGGCATCCGCGGGTCTTCCTCGGGATCCTCAGAAGCCATAATCAAATCCCGAGCCACGATAATCCAACGATACTACAGAGAGCGCACGAATATGATTATCATCTGGCAGTGGCTCTCGGGATCCGAAGAGCCACTATACGTCTATCTCAGCCTAACCTGTATTCATTGTTCAGCATCGTCCTAAGGATCATTAACGCCTCTTCCGTCCCCCTTCGACTTGGTGAGGTCAGCCCCCTCGTTCTCAGGCACGTTACACTTAATTCTATTTAACGGACAAGGACGACTTGCCAAATTACATTGGCACAATGCCCGAGAGTACTGGCACTGTACTCGGCTCGTAGGAAATAGTCCAGAAGTACTGTCGCTCCGATTTCGTTTAATGGAAACGGACCTTTTCAGCCTGATTCCCCCGTCCGGTAGCCGGTCGGTTAATTAACGAAAGAAGTGAGTTCCTCGGAAAGGAGCTCTCGACGGGTAATATCGTTTGTCGGCGGCCACCTGGGTGCGCAACAATCGCCGATCGAACAATCGTAAACGCAGAGTCACGATTGGCTCTGAAAGACTTCTCTGCCACTGTTACCGGTAATGGCGTAAACCTGGTGCGCCTCAGTGGTGCCCCCAGTCGTACGTACAAGGAGGTCGAGGAGGGTATCCGGGAGTTACATAGAACCCAGTGTAGAATTGGTTGTAGAGTGAAGATCCATGCTTGATTCCTCCGATTTTCTTTTAGGGCATTTTCTTACTTCCGGTCTTCTTCCGCTATCCTCACGTCCGTCCGGGAGTACGTGGATGGGAGAACGTTCCTGCGACGACTCCAGGCTCTGTTGACTCCGGCTCTTGGTACCGAAGGTGGGAGGTTGTCGCGGAGAAGGTGGAAACGCGCGCGCCAGTAAATTACTCTCTGGGCCAGCTCGATCGATCGATCTCTCGTAGGGGAAAAGGTGAACTCGAAGCTCGACGAGGGACGGGCGTAGGTAATTAGTAGTCGGGCACGCCGGCGAATACTGAAAAAGATAATCGGCAGTGCTTGTCGGAGTAGAAAGAGTGGGGAAAAAATAGCCGAAGAAATGGGAACCAAGAGCAGCCTCGAACAATCGCGACGACAAAACATTTTCTTCCTTTGTTTTTTTTTTCTTCATTCCTCTTCTTTCCTTTTGCATTCTTCAGCGTCGACCTCCTTCGTTCTCTGGCTCCTCGGGTACGGTTTGATCTGGATGATAAATAAGATTTTTGAATTACTGTTGACGATACACACTCAATTTTTATTCTATGACCAAAGTCCAAAAATATTTTTTATAATCATTTTTCAAACTCACCCCTTCTTTGAGACTTCATGCCCAGCACTTTCTACGCTGGATATTCAACTATGGCCGCCGTCCTCCAAAGTAGCCAGTGGGTACCCGGCGTCTACAGTTGTACGGACGTGCTTTTAGCGATACAACCAGTAGGTAGGAGACAATCGATATCTCTATGGTAGCAGCAGATGGAATGGGTTTTACTGATTAATGAAGAGCTCCAATGGCCAGAATTCTTCACCCTTTAGAGAGTCTCGGTAATGCTTGAACAAAGAGTTTTAATGTTATCAGGTAAATATTGGCAATTGGTATATACAGATACGTGTGGGTGGCAATGATTTATATAGGTTTAATTTTGTCACAGTGATTTTTCACGGGTGCTCTTACTGTGTAGCTCGTCAATTCTTATCTACACTCTTGTTATTTCGCTCCAATAGGTACTCACCTACCAGAAACTATTGAGCAGCGTACTAATTAACTACACAAGATTCGCTCCTACTAAAAATCGCCCATTAACAAGTGAATAGCAATTGTAAGGTTGAAAGTTCGTTAAAGGTAAAAAAAAAAAAAATTTCAATATAACAAAAATAATACATACTAAATTCTCAAGCGAAAAGAAACCCATTGACAGTGTATATGAAATGATTGTATAACGACGCCATCCGACGCTGCGGCGTCGTCCCGATGAATAGGGTCAATAATATGATTAAAAAAAAAATCAATCGCATTGATCGGCATTGATGGGATCTTTGTACCGGGTTTAAGCCTCCGTCAAACCTTTGCCAGGGTTCCCGAATCATCCCTTACGTCCGGGTACACCCCCCCCCCCCCC